TTGAAAAAATCTCGAAAATCTTGGAGGTGGGCGTGTCTGAAAGCTTGGGGATTTTTTGCGAGCAACCAATCACATGAATCTCCCGCCCCCGACATACAAAGCAATAGCAATGTTAAAACGAAGTGAACTGGATATAAACTCTCCAAACAGGCGAAAACCTACCAGTTTCCCCCACTGTCTCTGCCACCTCCCTCCATGCCTGGTTCCTCCGGTTTGTATCCCGGTAAATAGTTCTGGTCGTAAAGAACCGGGTGATTTGCTACCGTAATATCTCGTTTGGAATATGAGGAAATGAACTGCGGTCTGGCTCTCCCAGCTTGCACGCGGTTTGATTGGCTGCGCTTGCACTGGCGGGATTTGCATAAACGGGATTTGATTGGCTGATGCCAAGCATCGAGCCTCAAAAGTTGAACATTGTTCAACTTTTGATGCCGATAGATGCTCGTGATGCTTGCAAAGCCATGCCATGCTCCCCACAATGCAGTTCGGCGAAGATTAAAAATCTTCTACGTCACCCCATCCAAGTGAATGGGCGAAGCGTTGAAAGCATTTTTTGATGCCTGTAGTGTAGACGTACCGTTATGAAACTGTATTTTCGAGGACGCTTATGAGAGATTTCTACCTCCTTCAGTCCTTAATATCAGGTTGTTGTTCATATGCAGATTATTAAGTTAACATTAATAGATATATGTCTGGGAGTGTCGCTGCCTTCCCGCTGTGTTTCCTGGAGCCACCTTTAAACACACGTCTGACACGTTGTCTTTCATTTGATCAGTTTTACTCAGCGTTGTGACGACTGCTCAGTCCAAATGAAAACTCAAATCATTCCCTCACCTTCAACAAAGAAAAGGTTCCTTTACTAGAGGGTAAACTAGCTTAGATCAGCTTTCTTTCTATATACATTGAGTGCGTCTCCACACAAGAAGCCCTTTGTCTCTCAAAGACTGAGGCACCCTGGGAATTGTAGTCTTTTGTGCTCCATGGACTACAGATGTTGCAGCGAGAACAGAAATCTGACGTTCTGAGTTCCATTTGTCCGCAGAGCGTTCAGGGGACGTTCGGATCACATCTGGAAAAGTTCTGCATTTTAGACGTAAATAAGTGGTTTTTAAGAATAGCGCGCCTCTCTGAGGTCTTGCACTGTTTTTACCGAGTCTTACTCAGAATTAGACCTTATTTTTATTGAGTTTCACTCGGTATAAAAAAATATTTTCTTAACTAGTTTTTTGGAGAATAAAACCCTTTTTGTTATTGAGCTTTACTTAGAATCAAACACTTATTTAATCGAGAATCAAACACTTATTTAATCGAGAATCAAACACTTATTTAATCGAGAATCAAACACTTATTTAATCGAGAATCAAACGCTTATTTAATCGAGAATCAAACACTTATTTAATCGAGAATCAAACACTTATTTAATCGAGAATTAAACACTTATTTAATCGAGAATCAAACACTTATTTAATCGAGAATCAAACACTTATTTAATCGAGATTTAAACACTTATTTAATCGTTAGCTACTCTTTATTATTGCTGCCTTACCTGCTATGTCACTTCCTCCCTGCCTGTGTTTCAGGGACTTCCCAACACCTGTCTTTATCAAGTTTTACTGAGAATAAAACCCTTTTTCTTAATTAAGTTGTTCTGAGAATAAACCACCACATTGTTATTCTACTGTGCAATAATCCAAATCATTATAATATCTCAAAACCTTAATATGTTCACAAAATGTCCTTATTTCTCTTTATTTGTATTTTATTGACAACATGTGATTTTTCTCTGTATTTAAGACGCTAGCTGCTCTTTGTTTCTGCTGCCTTTGTCTACCTGCTCCGTGACTCTCTCTCCGTTCCCCCGGCTGTGCTTCAGGGCCCTCTCCCCAACACCTGTGGGAGCTTCTGGGAGATGGTGTGGGAGCAGAGGAGTCGAGGCGTGGTGATGCTCAACAGAGTCGTGGAGAAAGGATCCGTGAGTCCCTCAGTTTCTCTTTGATTGGTTTCGAACGTGCAAAACAATAATACAAAAAATTATAATAATGAAACGAAACAAGAGAATTATGACACTGGTCAGACTAGGGTTAGGGTCAAATGAGTCGCACTACAGGATAAGAATACGTGTGAGAACAGATAACGAAGAACTAGAGAAACAAGTGAAACTCAGACTGTCTGAGAACTCCCTGTTAAAGCCAGTTTTTGTTTTGGGAATAGGTCGATTAATATTCTCATTTAACTTCAACCTCTGTAGTCCATAGGATATAGAAAACTACAAATCCCAGCCACTGTTAAAGGTATACTTCCTGCATTCAAAGGTAGTCACTAAAGCTCCTTTAAACCTCCTCACAGAGCAGATTATATTTATTAACGTGTAAAACAATAATAATAATAATGAAATGAAACATGAGAGTTATGACACTGTACAAAGTTAAGCAGTAACACATTGATAAACTACAATTATTAGAAGAAGCTCACACCCCTTCTCCCAAAAACGTGTTCTCCCCACTGTGTTCCAGGGTCAGTGAACTCACCACGTCTCCTCCCGTGTGTTTCAGATTAAATGTGCTCAGTACTGGCCTCAGAGAGAGGAGGGAGACGCCGTGTTCGAAGACACCAACTTCAAACTCACCTTCGTCTCCGAGGACGTGAAGTCTTATTACACCGTGAGGCAGCTGGAGCTGGAGAACCTCTCGGTGAGTCTGAGGCTTTCTGTCTGATATCTCAAAGGATCCCCCAATTTGGGATCAACAAAGTACGATACGATACGCAGAGATGTAGAAGTACACACCCTTTACTCAAGTAGAAGTACACATCCTTTCCTCAAGTAGAAGTACAGATACTCGTGTTTAAAAATACTCTGGTGAAAGTAGAAGTACTGACTAAACTTCTTCACTCAAGTCAAAGTAAAGAGGCTTTGAAATGTACTTCAGTAAAAAGTACCCATAACTAGCAGCTGTTTTAAAGAGTACCTGACCTCCCTTTATATTAATAGAACAATAATGTCATTGTTAGCTAATGAATGTTTCCATGCTGACCAACGGCAACATGACAACGTTTCCATTGGTCCCTCTTCTTTAGAGAAGACCAGGAAATGATGGATACACGGATCGTGTTCAAATCAATAGGCACACAATGACTCTAAATAATAATGATCACGCCACCAAACACACATTCAGACTAAAGGAACCAGCCTGTTTGGAAAATGAGAGAAGTAGAAAGTACAGGTATTTGAGTTCAACATGTGAGAAGTAGAAAGTACAGGTATTTGTGTTCAAATGTAAGAAGTAGAAAGTACAGGTATTTGAGTTCAACATGTGAGAAGTAGAAAGTACAGGTATTTGTGTTCAACATGTAAGAAGTAGAAAGTACAGGTATTTGAGTTCAACATGTAAGAAGTAGAAAGTACAGGTATTTGAGTTCAACATGTAAGAAGTAGAAAGTACAGGTATTTGAGTTCAACATGTAAGAAGTCGAAAGTAAAAGGTAGTTAGAAGGATAAGTAGTGGAGTAAAGTACTGATACAGAGAAATGTACTAAG